TTTTAATCAAAATATTTGTAGATATGCCCGATGTGCCCGCAATTTTCAAGCGCCCGGGCGCGCATGGCCGGCGCTCTGCACACAGAGATTTTTGTCCGGCGGTGCACGTTTGACACGGCCAGTGCCTCAGTATCGCGATTCGGTGTCTCATAATATTATAATTTTTTGACATCAGTATAGCTTTAAAAATTTTTGTTACTCAACATACGTACATTTGCTAAGAATAAAGTTGATTTGCAGTGATTTGTGTTTGTTGCGTGTGTTTGTGTTTCGCTTACCGTCGTTAATGCATGTGGGGAGGGGGGCGCACTTACGCAAAACATATTCGCGGGGAAATAGATTCGCGGTAGAAAGTTCCCCGCGAATTCCGCGAATCTAAATATACCGCGGAAATTTGTAGACTTACAGTACGTAGTGTAGCACACGTTAAAAGTGTGCTACAAAAACTCACCAATGCACCCACATGCAAGTAACCTCTTTGAAACTCTTTGAAAAGCACAACATCTGGCATAGCAAACCCTCCAATTCCATGTGGGATTTTGGCTGTGTAACAATGTGTGACAATGATTGTACCATGTTAGCACATATGCATAACTTATACGCATAAGATTAGGATGTTCCCAGTTTTCCTGACTTAAAGGGTTGGCCATCAAGCTTCTATGAGCCAGACCAGTGGAAGGGCTGCTAGAAGCATGGTATAGTCAGGCTAGACAGCCATCCTGTTGAAAAATACATGATCAGAGTCATGAGACCAAATGTTATACATGTATTCCTCTTATATTTTGTCCACCAGCAAAGATTATAATAGTAATACTGATGTCACACTTCTTTACCTTTCAGGGATGATGGTAAAGAGGGGCTGAAGTTCTACACAGACCCCAACTTCTTCTTCGAGCTGTGGTGCATGGAGATGCAGAAGGATGTGCAGGCCATCAAAGACGCACGGCGCAGGAAGCAGAAGGTATGTAGGGGGGTTACGGGAATACTTGTAACTCTTAATGATGCAGCAGGTCTGGTATGGTATGGGATAGAAAAGTCATTGATAGTTGATATGTCATGGTCTTTTTCATCCCAGAAATATGAAATCATGGCTTCTGAAAATAATTTTATCTGATTGGTAAAACATATGGCATTGGAGTTTTCTTTTTACACAACTGGTAAGTAGAGAAGAATTATTACCGGCTGTGTATAAGAAAACCCCAATATCGTATCAAAATATTACTGTAGCTGTCTGACTCATAATTCACACAATGTAATTTATCTTAACTAAAGATAAGAAGCTTAGATGATTTGTTTGAAAATGACAGTTGGGAAGACAAAGACCTAAGACCAACAGTACATGTTGCATGCCCTGTAACTAACTAACAAATGGAAGCACAGCTCTGTGCATTGTTGAACCTAACCATTCACATCTTTGTAATATTTCCACCCCACTGCCCAACGCACGGCTTGAATTTCAAGACAGTAGTTGGCAAACAACAAGGCACTCCCAAGGTATGTAAGAAGACGTCACAATTTTGTCTGGTAGTGTTTTAAACGTTGATGCAGTGGCTTGTACTCAGAGGTGTTGTTGTTAATGTTAAACACAGCGAGATCGCGGGCCGCAGCGTACGAAGGACCGGATCCGTAGCCCGGGTAACAGACTGAAGGAGATCCAGAAGCAGGCGAAGGGGAAGGAGTTTGCGGAAACGGCGGAGACGCCGGTGGTGAGGACAGCTGGGAACTACGACCAGATCCAGAACTACAGACAGTCGGGTGCTCAACAGGTCAGGACAGGGGGTTTAGTTTCTTTTAAGTCAGTTCAGAAAATTGTAATCATAGGACATGAGAATTTTTTATACATGACCAGTACTTCTCATTTTGTAGTGTAGTTTTTTAGTCTTTTGTAGTGCTGTTTGCAATATTTGAACAGTTGTAAAGGATAACAGTCAGAATTTCATCATTTTACTGTGTTGGGCCAGGATTGCCATTTCTGTAGCTGGTGACTAACTGGTTCTGTTCCAATACTAGTATGCCACAACAAATTTTGCATCATAGTGTAGCAGTGGGGAATACACAAAAGAAATTGAATGTGTCATAAAAAATTATATACAACTTTAAAGTCAAATATTTCATCAGTATTTGAGTATAAATGCTACACCTTTGTAGTGTCCCATGTTTTGTAAAAGATGGTATTTTTATCTTCCCAGCAATATCAGCAGCAGGCCAGGCCTAACCAGGGCTCCCCACCGCCGCCCTACACAGAACATGAGGACCCGTACGCCTCCCGTAACCGATACCCCTCCGGCCACGCCCCCAGTATCAACCGCACCCCCTCCCAGCGCCCTGTACAGGCCCCCCCTCCCCCTCCCCAACAGAACGGCATGCCACCGCCCGGGTCCCACCTTCCACCCCCTCCCCCACCCCCCGACTCAGCCGCTTACCGCAACAGGATGACGA